GTACCCTTCTGTCTTCAGTACCTTTCTGTCTTCAGTACCCTTCTGTCTTCAGTACACTTCTGTCTTCAGTACCTTTCTGTCTTCAGTACCCTTCTGTCTTCAGTACCCTTCTGTCTTCAGTACCCTTCTGTCTTCAGTACCCTTCTGTCTTCAGTACCCTTCTGTCATCAGTACCCTTCTGTCTTCAGTATCTTCAGTACCCTTCTGTCTTCAGTACCCTTCTGTCTTCAGTACCCTTCTGTCTTCAGTACCCTTCTGTCTTCAGTACCCTTCTGTCTACAGTACCCTTCTGTCTTCAGTACCTTTCTGTCTTCAGTACCTTTCTGTCTTCAGTACCCTTCTGTCTTCAGTACCCTTCTGTCTTCAGTACCTTTCTGTCTTCAGTACCCTTCTGTCTTCAGTACCCTTCTGTCTTCAGTACCTTTCTGTCTTCAGTACCTTTCTGTCTTCAGTACCCTTCTATCTTCAGTACCCTTCTGTCTTCAATACCTTTCTGTCTTCAGTACCTTTCTGTCTTCAGTACCCTTCTGTCTTCAGTACCCTTCTGTCTTCAGTACCTTTCTGTCTTCAGTACCTTTCTTTCTTCAGTACCCTTCTATCTTCAGTACCTTTCTGTCTACGGTACCCTTCTGTCTTCAGTACCCTTCTGTCTTCAGTACCCTTCTGTCTTCAGTACCCTTCTGTCTTCAGTACCCTTCTGTCTTCAGTACCCTTCTGTCTTCAGTACCCTTCTGTCTTCAGTACCCTTCTGTATACAGTACCCTTCTGTCTTCATTACCCTTCTGTCTTCAGTACCCTTCTGTCTTCAGTACCCTTCTGTATACAGTACCCTTCTGTCTTCACTACCCTTCTGTCTTCACTACCCTTCTGTCTTCAGTACCCTTTTGTCTACGGTACCCTTCGGTCTTTAGTACCCTTCTGACTTCAGTACCCTTCTGTCTTCAGTACCCTTCTGTCTTCAGTACCCTTCTGTCTTCAGTACACTTCTGTCATCAGTACCTTCTGTCTTCAGTACCCTTCTGTCTTCAGTACCCTTCTGTCTACGGTACGCTTCTGTCTTTAGTACCCTTCTGACTTCAGTACCTTCTGACTTCAGTACCCTTCTGTCTTCAGTACCCTTCTGTCTTCAGTACCCTTCTGTCTTCAGTACCCTTCTGTCTTCAGTACCCTTCTGACTTCAGTACCCTTCTGTCTTCACTACCCTTCTGTCTTTAGTACCCTTCTATCATCAGTACCGTTCTGTCTTCAGTACCCTTCTGTCTTCAGTACCCTTCTGTCTTCAGTACCCTTCTGTCTTCAGTACCCTTCTGTCTTTAGTACCCTTCTGTCTTCAGTACCCTTCTGTCTACAGTACCCTTCTGTCTTCACTACCCTTCTGTCTTTAGTACCCTTCTATCATCAGTACCCTTCTGTCTTCACTACCCTTCTGTCTAAGGGTTAGGATAAGGGCGCCGCAATTTGACCGCTCTCATGACGTTGAGAAACCTTAGGAGGATGGGCTGACCTGACCTACCAGGCTTTGCGCCGTGGAGAGGGAGTGGGGGGACCTGCTGCATGGGTTACAGCTTCTCCCCCGTATCAACCTACCCTGGCTTTGAGCCCTGGAGAGGCCACTCCAGACCGACAACCAGAGCGCGACTCCACAGTCTCCTGAGACTGATGGATGCCCACTACCATTAGACTTCAGGTCAGCCCATCTTCCTAAGGTTTCTCACTGTCACGAAAACAGAAACATTGAAGTGCCCTTATCCTAACCTACCAGAGGATCCAAAATAGAAAACGGGACAGTACGTCACTTTCGCCAGCCACTTCCATTTTCTAGTACGATAACTTTTGCCCTTTATGTAACGCATACGAGCGAAATGCGACGTTCTTTGTAAGAGGCCAGAGTCCTGGTAGCGTGTATGTATTAAGCCTAGGATGGTCAGGTTAGGTTTCATTAGGAACCTAAATACAAAACCTTTTCCGGTTTATCCATATTCAACAGTGCCAAATTCTACTTTCTAAGTGTCTATTACGTCAATATATGCACTATGGTCCTCATCAATACTTTAAGTACTGTCTAAAGAGGAAGCTGGGTTGCATCTCAACAACTGCTGAACAGTTAAAGATTCCAAGCGCTTGAGTTTCAAGACATAAAACTCCCCAAGACAAATTCACTTAATAAAGCTGTTCTTTTAAAGACACCAGAGCGCGCTCCACCTTCTTCCTTCCCAGATGGCCAATATTTTCCCCGCCACGACACATGGAACATTACCCACTCGTCGCCCTCGTCTTCGCCGGGAATATTGAAACATTACGATTGTCCAACCGCCAAGATTTGGGACCTCTCCCATGTCTGCTTTATCAGTGGTGTGACGGAGGGCCCGGAGTCCGACGCGCACGCACGCACGCACAAATACACACACGCACAAACACACACACACACACACACACACACACACACACACACACACACACACACACACACACACACACACACACACACACACACACATACACATACACATACAGGAGGATAGTAGGAGGCTACAAGATGACCTAGACAGATTGAATGAATGGTCCAACAAATGGCTGGTCAAGTTCAACCCAAGTAAATGCAAAGTAATGAAACTAGGCGGCGGAAACAGAAGGCCAGACACAGGATACAGAATGGGAGATGAAGTACTTCAGGAAACGGAGAGAGACAAAGATCTAGGAGTTGATATAACACCAAACCTGCCTCATGAAGCCCACATAAACAGAATTACGTCTGCGGCATATGCGAGACTGACTAACATCAGAACAGCATTCAGGAACTTGTATAAGGAATCATTCAGAATCTTGTATACCACATATATAAGACCAATCCTGGAGTATGCAGCTCCAGCATGGAGCCCGTACCTTGTCAAGCACAAGACGAAGCTGGAAAAAGTTCAGAGGTATGCCACTAGATTAGTCCCGGAGCTAAGGGGCATGAGTTATGAGGAAAGGCTGCGAGAGATGCACTTTACGACACTGGAAGAGAGAAGAGTAAGGGGAGACATGATCACTTCCTACGAAATCCTTAGGGTATTGACAGGGTAGACAAGGATAAACTATTCAACACTGGTGGTACGCGAACAAGGGGACACAGGTGGAAACTGAGTACCCAAATGAGCCACAGTGACGTTAGAAAGAACTTTTTCAGTGTCAGAGTAGTTAACAGGTGGAATGCATTAGGCAGTGATGTGGTGGAGGCTGACTCCATACACAGTTTCAAATGTAGATATGACAGGGCCCAGTAGGCTCAGGAATCTGTACACCAGTTGATTGACGGTTGAGAGGCAGGACCAAAGAGCCAAAGCTCAACCCCCGCAAGCACAATTAGGTAAGTACAATTAGGGGAGTACACAGGGGATCTGGTAGCTGAGTGGACAGACGCAGGACTCGTAATTCTGTGGCCCGGGTTCGATTCCCGGTCCAGGCAGAAGCAAATGGGCAAAGTTTGTTTAACCATGATGCCTCTGTTACTTAGCAGTAAATAAAGTTAAACAGCTATTACGGAGGTGCTTCCTGTGTGTGTGTGTATGTATTCACCTAGTTGTGCTTGCGGGGATTGAGCTCAGCACTTTCGGCCCGCCTATGAACTGTCAATCAACTGTTTCTACTACTACTACTACTGTTTTCCCCCCCACTCACACACACACACACACACACACACACACACACACACACACACACACACACACACACACACACACACACACACACACACACACACACACACACAACACTGGTACATGGATGGAAGCTTGAAACTCAGATGAGTCACAGAGATGTTAGGAAGTTTTCTTTTAGCGTGAGAGTAATGGGAAAATGGAATGCACTTCAGGAACAGGTTGTGGAAGCAAATACTATTCATAATTTTAAAACCAGGTATGATAGGGAAATGGGACAGGAGTCATTGCTGTAAACAACCGATGCTCAAAAGGCGGGATCCAAGAGTCAATGCTCGATCCTGCAGACACAACTAGGTGAGTACAACTAGGTGAGTACACACACACACACACACACACACACACACACACACACACACACACACACACCAAGAAGCTGCCCGTGACAGCTGACTAACTCCCAGGTACCTATTTACTGCTAGGTAACAGGGGTATAGGGTGAAAGAAACTCTGTCCATTGTTTCTCGCCGGCGTCCGGGATCGAACCCGGGACCACAGGATCACGTGTCCAGCGTGCGGTCCGCTCGGGCACCGGCTCCCCTGTGTGTGACAGGGGGGGGGGGGGGGGAATTAATTAGTAGTTAGTAATAGCTGATTGACAGTTGAGAAGCGGGCCGAAAGAGCAAAGCTCAACCCCCGCAAGCACAACTAGGTGAATACACACTTCACGGCCTCACTGCCGAGTGGACAGCGCTTGGGGATCGTAGTCTAAGGAACCGAGTTCTATCCCCGGCGGAGACAGAAACAAATGGGCATATTTTCTTTCACTCTGGTGCCCCTGTTCACGTAGCAGTAAATAGGTACCTGGAAGCTAGACAGCTGCTACGGGCTGCTTCCTGGGGATGTGCGCGCGCGCGCGTGTGTGTGTGTGTGTGTGTGTGTGTGTGTGTGTGTGTGTGTGTGTGTGTGTGTGTGTGTGTGTGTGTGTGCGCTTGCGCTTGCGCAAGAGATTAGAAAAGCGGGCTTGTATCTAAGTCCGCAGATACAAATAGTAAATACACACACACACGGGTTTCACCTAGATAAACCTAGCAAGTAAGATCCAACTTGAGATCTTAAAAATCTATATAGAAATATGTAAAGAAAACAGAGGCCTACGAAGATGTAGAAGAGAGACACCAAACTCAACACGGACTCTGCTAATATTCCAGCTCGGTTATCCAAGACCAATCTAGATTGAATTATTATCTTTACTGACAAAATTAATATACAATTTTGCCAAATCGGAGTAATTCAATTAGGTGTTATTACAGTGATGCTGATGCTCATTTTCACAGCCACACGGGGCAGGAGATCGTCTAGATGGCCGGAGGTCCGGGAAGAAAAGGGACTGAGGATCTCAGGTAACTGAAAAGAAACCAATTAAGAAACACAAGAAACGGAAGACAGAATAGTAGGGCTGCTGGAGAAAGTAATTGGGAAGGGGCCTCGTAGCCTGGTGGATAGCGCGCAGGACTCGTAATTCTGTGGCGCGGGTTCGATTCCCGCACGAGGCAGAAACAAATGGGCAAAGTTTCTTTCACCCTGAATGCCCCTGTTACCTAGTAGTAAATAGGTACCTGGGAGTTAGTCAGCTGTCACGGGCTGCTTCCTGGGGGGGGAGGCCTGGTCGAGGACCGGGCCGCGGGGACACTAAAGCCCCGAAATCATCTCAAGATAACCTCAAGATAACCTATAGGAATAAATCACCAAAACACGGTTACTGAAAATTGAGGAGGAAAAATATAAAAAATGAAATAAGTAAAACCCAATATATAATTTACATTTTAAATAGAAAGAGATAACACCCTACCTGTCTCAGACAGGCTTATAAAGCCAGATGGAGACTATAACACTCATGGTCTTCATAAAACCAAATTTGTTTACCTATGATCACTTATGTTAACATAACGAGACGAGAGATAACGAGTAAATATTAGTGCCATATGACGCCTTCACAGATTCGCCGCGTTATTGTGTTTTTCATTGTGCATTGATAGTGGTTAGCCTCTTTATTTGACCATTTAGAAAGTTCTGGCTTACAGTCTTATCAAAAGTTATCAACAGTAACACCCGTGGCGTAGTGGTAACACACTAGCTCCACGTCTTGTGATCAATTTCATCTGGGTTCGAGCCCTGGCCATGTAAGACTGACTGGGCGCCAATTCATAATTGTTCGCCCCCGTCCACCCAGCACTAATTGGAAACCCGGTTTGTAAACAGATTCCTGGTTTGTGATGTTTGTAAACATCACTTACACATCAGGTTGGATAACAAGAACCTTTCAAACTAGAGATGCTATACCAATGATGATATTTTTCAAGACGTTAGTGCTCTCTACACTGGAATACTGTTGCACAATGACAGCTTTTAAAGCTGGAGAAATTGCTGACCTGGAGAGCGTCAGCAATTCCTTTACTGTTATAATCCGCTCAGTAAAACATCTAAACTATTCGGAACGACTAAGATGCCTAAACCTAAAATTTCTCTAGGGCGCAGGCTGGAGAGATACATAACAATTTACACGTGGAAATAGTAGAGGGGCTGGTTCCAAACCTGCACACAGAAATATCGTCACATGAGACCAGAAGGCATGGCAGAATGTGCAGAATACCCCCGTTGAGGAGCAGAGGTGCAACAGGTACTCTGAGAGAGAACTCTATCAACATCAGAGGCCCGAGACTGTTCAACACGCTTCCACTACACATAAGGGACATAGCTGGCCGACCCCTCACAGTGTTCAAGAGAGAACTGGATAAACACATCCAAAGGATACCTGATCAACCAGGCTGTTATTCATGCGTCAGGCTGCGAGCAGCTGCGTCCAACAGCCTGGTTGACCAGTCCAGCAACCAGGAGGTCTGGTCGGGGACCGGGCCGCGGGGACGTTGAGCCCCGATATCATGGGTAACACCCGCACTGAAGCCATTACAGACACCAAACCTCCTCATTGAACCTCCTCGTCAGGAGGAGAACAGAATCATTTCGGCCAGAAGTGAACAAAAAGTCCTGTAGAAACTGTGACGATGTATACACAGGAGACAAACTTAGATCACAGGATTTGAGAATGTAAATATTCGTCTCAAGAGGCTGAGAGTAGGAACTCGTCACGCACAAACACCACGAACAACACCAGGCCAACTTTAAGGATGTTAACATACCCATCACAAAAGAAAACATTAGAAGACAGAGTATAGCAACTCCAGCCACCAAACATTGCAACACCATCGGAAAGAATTGCAGGAAGTTTGGTATCGTAAACACACTTTGTACCTCAAAAAATACATATTATGACCAACTTAATTCCAGGCTTTATGTCATTACTCACTTTCACTTCAACCTTCTTTTTCCTTCATAAGCAGCTAACTTTGTGGATATTATTCAGCCCGTCCTCCAAAGGTTTCCTAACATCAAGAAACTGTCCTACTAAAGTGCCCTTATCCTAACCCACCAGAGGACCCCAAAACAGAAAACGGGCCAGTATGTCAATTTTGCGAGCCGCTCCCATTTTCTAGCACGACATTTTCTGGCCTTAGGTAGGGTACACGTCAAAATGCGACGTTCTATTAGAAGGACGTGTTGACATTACCCTCACTGAGGGTAGGATACAGTCTGGATGTTGGTGGTTCCTGCTGCCATGTTGTTCAGGTGTTTTCTTGATGTATAGACTTTCTAGTTCTTCTGGCGAGACTGTAACGTGTTAATGTCTTGTGTTTACCCCCGGCGCAGGGTGCTGACCTTCTGGTATCTGCCGGTGTTCAACGCCTGGCTGCTGTTGTGCCCGTGGACGCTGGCGCACGACTGGCAGATGGGCTCCATCCCGCTCATCACCTCCGTCATAGATACCAGGAACATCGCTTCTCATTTGTTCTACGGCGCCCTTGTACTTATACTCAGAGCTGGATGCTTGATGAAGGTATTAAATATTTGGCAGTGTTGCTGTTGTGTTTTATCTGTATTAGTTACACCCACCCACCACACACACCTGCCTATCCACCACACACACCTGCCTATCCACCACACACAACTTCCTACCCAATACACACACCTGCTTAACCAACTACCCAAAGACCTTTTACCTGTGAATACCTGCACAGGTAAAAGATCTTTACACAAAGCTCTCTCTCTCTTGTTATTAACGACCATCAGGAGCAGCTTCTCTCTTATCCTCTCCTCCTCCACCTCCTCCTTTTCTCATCCTCTCCTCTCCTCTCCTCTCCTGATGGCTCTATCATATTTACATTTTGTTTGCATTCTACCCCTGGATGAATTCCTCTTTTAAGCTGTTTCCTTTGGAATTTGCATCAGATATTTTACGAGTATTCTATATTGAACCGCTTCCTCCTGTTCAGTTCTGTGTGTGAGACACAAACAGAAAGAAGGGATAAGGTAGAAATCTGAGGACATGTAGTGGGAGGGATGGTGCAGAAAGGTGTACGCCATATATTATATATATATATATATATATATATATATATATATATATATATATATATATATATATATATATATATATATATATATATATATATATATATATATGCGAACAAGCCTGAATGGTCCCCAGGACTATATGCGAATGAAAACTCACACCCCAGAAGTGACTCGAACCCATACTCCCAGAAGCAACGCAACTGGTAACTACAGGGCGCCTTAATCCGCTTGACCATCACGGCCGTCAAAAGGAAGTGATAGCCGAGGCTATTTGAGCCACTTCCCCGACGGCAACTCGGATGGTAATCTTGGGCATAGCATTTCACCAAATCACCTCATTCTTTGGGGCACACGTGAGGAACACAAATGCGAACAAGCCTGAATGGTCCCCAGGACTATATGCGAATGAAAACTCACACCCCAGAAGTGACTCGAACCCATACTCCCAGAAGCAACGCAACTGGTAACTACAGGGCGCCTTAATCCGCTTGACCATCACGGCCGTCAAAAGGAAGTGATAGCCGAGGCTATTTGAGCCACTTCCCCGACGGCAACTCGGATGGTAATCTTGGGCATAGCATTTCACCAAATCACTTCATTCTTTGGGGCACACGTGAGGAACACAAATGCGAACAAGCCTGAATGGTCCCCAGGACTATATGCGAATGAAAACTCACACCCCAGAAGTGACTCGAACCCATACTCCCAGAAGCAACGCAACTGGTAACTACAGGGCGCCTTAATCCGCTTGACCATCACGGCCGTCAAAAGGAAGTGATAGCCGAGGCTATTTGAGCCACTTCCCCGACGGCAACTCGGATGGTAATCTTGGGCATAGCATTTCACCAAATCACCTCATTCTTTGGGGCACACGTGAGGAACACAAATGCGAACAAGCCTGAATGGTCCCCAGGACTATATGCGAATGAAAACTCACACCCCAGAAGTGACTCGAACCCATACTCCCAGAAGCAACGCAACTGGTAACTACAGGGCGCCTTAATCCGCTTGACCATCACGGCCGTCAAAAGGAAGTGATAGCCGAGGCTATTTGAGCCACTTCCCCGACGGCAACTCGGATGGTAATCTTGGGCATAGCATTTCACCAAATCACCTCATTCTTTGGGGCACACGTGAGGAACACAAATGCGAACAAGCCTGAATGGTCCCCAGGACTATATGCGAATGAAAACTCACACCCCAGAAGTGACTCGAACCCATACTCCCAGAAGCAACGCAACTGGTAACTACAGGGCGCCTTAATCTGCTTGACCATCACGGCCGTCAAAAGGAAGTGATAGCCGAGGCTATTTGAGCCACTTCCCCGACGGCAACTCGGATGGTAATCTTGGGCATAGCATTTCACCAAATCACCTCATTCTTTGGGGCACACGTGAGGAACACAAATGCGAACAAGCCTGAATGGTCCCCAGGACTATATGCGAATGAAAACTCACACCCCAGAAGTGACTCGAACCCATACTCCCAGAAGCAACGCAACTGGTAACTACAGGGCGCCTTAATCCGCTTGACCATCACGGCCGTCAAAAGGAAGTGATAGCCGAGGCTATTTGAGCCACTTCCCCGACGGCAACTCGGATGGTAATCTTGGGCATAGCATTTCACCAAATCACCTCATTCTTTGGGGCACACATGAGGAACACAAATGCGAACAAGCCTGAATGGTCCCCAGGACTATATGCGAATGAAAACTCACACCCCAGAAGTGACTCGAACCCATACTCCCAGAAGCAACGCAACTGGTAACAACAGGGCGCCTTAATCCGCTTGACCATCACGGCCGTCAAAAGGAAGTGATAGCCGAGGCTATTTGAGCCACTTCCCCGACGGCAACTCGGATGGTAATCTTGGGCATAGCATTTCACCAAATCACCTCATTCTTTGGGGCACACTTGAGGAACACAAATGCGAACAAGCCTGAATGGTCCCCAGGACTATATGCGAATGAAAACTCACACCCCAGAAGTGACTCGAACCCATACTCCCAGAAGCAACGCAACTGGTAACTACAGGGCGCCTTAATCCGCTTGACCATCACGGCCGTCAAAAGGAAGTGATAGCCGAGGCTATTTGAGCCACTTCCCCGACGGCAACTCGGATGGTAATCTTGGGCATAGCATTTCACCAAATCACCTCATTCTTTGGGGCACACGTGAGGAACACAAATGCGAACAAGCCTGAATGGTCCCCAGGACTATATGCGAATGAAAACTCACACCCCAGAAGTGACTCGAACCCATACTCCCAGAAGCAACGCAACTGGTAACTACAGGGCGCCTTAATCCGCTTGACCATCACGGCCGTCAAAAGGAAGTGATAGCCGAGGCTATTTGAGCCACTTCCCCGACGGCAACTCGGATGGTAATCTTGGGCATAGCATTTCACCAAATCACCTCATTCTTTGGGGCACACGTGAGGAACACAAATGCGAACAAGCCTGAATGGTCCCCAGGACTATATGCGAATGAAAACTCACACCCCAGAAGTGACTCGAACCCATACTCCCAGAAGCAACGCAACTGGTAACTACAGGGCGCCTTAATCCGCTTGACCATCACGGCCGTCAAAAGGAAGTGATAGCCGAGGCTATTTGAGCCACTTCCCCGACGGCAACTCGGATGGTAATCTTGGGCATAGCATTTCACCAAATCACCTCATTCTTTGGGGCACACGTGAGGAACACAAATGCGAACAAGCCTGAATGGTCCCCAGGACTATATGCGAATGAAAACTCACACCCCAGAAGTGACTCGAACCCATACTCCCAGAAGCAACGCAACTGGTAACTACAGGGCGCCTTAATCCGCTTGACCATCACGGCCGTCAAAAGGAAGTGATAGCCGAGGCTATTTGAGCCACTTCCCCGACGGCAACTCGGATGGTAATCTTGGGCATAGCATTTCACCAAATCACCTCATTCTTTGGGGCACACGTGAGGAACACAAATGCGAACAAGCCTGAATGGTCCCCAGGACTATATGCGAATGAAAACTCACACCCCAGAAGTGACTCGAACCCATACTCCCAGAAGCAACGCAACTGGTAACTACAGGGCGCCTTAATCCGCTTGACCATCACGGCCGTCAAAAGGAAGTGATAGCCGAGGCTATTTGAGCCACTTCCCCGACGGCAACTCGGATGGTAATCTTGGGCATAGCATTTCACCAAATCACCTCATTCTTTGGGGCACACGTGAGGAACACAAATGCGAACAAGCCTGAATGGTCCCCAGGACTATATGCGAATGAAAACTCACACCCCAGAAGTGACTCGAACCCATACTCCCAGAAGCAACGCAACTGGTAACTACAGGGCGCCTTAATCCGCTTGACCATCACGGCCGTCAAAAGGAAGTGATAGCCGAGGCTATTTGAGCCACTTCCCCGACGGCAACTCGGATGGTAATCTTGGGCATAGCATTTCACCAAATCACCTCATTCTTTGGGGCACACGTGAGGAACACAAATGCGAACAAGCCTGAATGGTCCCCAGGACTATATGCGAATGAAAACTCACACCCCAGAAGTGACTCGAACCTATACTCCCAGAAGCAACGCAACTGGTAACTACAGGGCGCCTTAATCCGCTTGACCATCACGGCCGTCAAAAGGAAGTGATAGCCGAGGCTATTTGAGCCACTTCCCCGACGGCAACTCGGATGGTAATCTTGGGCATAGCATTTCACCAAATCACCTCATTCTTTGGGGCACACGTGAGGAACACAAATGCGAACAAGCCTGAATGGTCCCCAGGACTATATGCGAATGAAAACTCACACCCCAGAAGTGACTCGAACCCATACTCCCAGAAGCAACGCAACTGGTAACTACAGGGCGCCTTAATCCGCTTGACCATCACGGCCGTCAAAAGGAAGTGATAGCCGAGGCTATTTGAGCCACTTCCCCGACGGCAACTCGGATGGTAATCTTGGGCATAGCATTTCACCAAATCACCTCATTCTTTGGGGCACACGTGAGGAACACAAATGCGAACAAGCCTGAATGGTCCCCAAGACTATATGCGAATGAAAACTCACACCCCAGAAGTGACTCGAACCCATACTCCCAGAAGCAACGCAACTGGTAACTACAGGGCGCCTTAATCCGCTTGACCATCACGGCCGTCAAAAGGAAGTGATAGCCGAGGCTATTTGAGCCACTTCCCCGACGGCAACTCGGATGGTAATCTTGGGCATAGCATTTCACCAAATCACCTCATTCTTTGGGGCACACGTGAGGAACACAAATGCGAACAAGCCTGAATGGTCCCCAGGACTATATGCGAATGAAAACTCACACCCCAGAAGTGACTCGAACCCATACTCCCAGAAGCAACGCAACTGGTAACTACAGGGCGCCTTAATCCGCTTGACCATCACGGCCGTCAAAAGGAAGTGATAGCCGAGGCTATTTGAGCCACTTCCCCGACGGCAACTCGGATGGTAATCTTGGGCATAGCATT